GTTTAAATAGCCTTCCCAAAGTCAGAAAGCTGGACAAATTTCCAGCTTCAACATTTAAGTGGTAGATGTAACCAAGGGAAACTTTAGGGACTCATGGAAATCAGACAGGAACAGTTAAACTGAAAGCATAACTCGGGGAGAGTGACATTAAAGGTTATGCAGATGCTGAAAGTAAACTATAGACCAAACATGATTGCCACTCAATGCCTCTTTTGCAAACCACAGTACTGAAAAGGAGAGAGATAACAAAAGGGAATACCCTACCACAGAGGCAGAGTGGGATGGCGGGGGGCGGGGGGAGTTGGAGGGATACTGAGATCAGTGATGGTGGAGAATGGGCACTGGTGGAGGGATGGGTACTCGATCACTGTATAGCTGAAACCCAAGAACAAAAATTTGTAAGTCTACAACTGTACCTCATGGTGTTTCACTAATAAAAAAATTTTTTAAATAAATAAAGGTTATGCAGAAAAGGAAGGTCCATGCATAGGTACTGGGACAGTATAAGCCTGGTTTTGCTTTGTCCCAGTACCCAGCACAAGGCAGTTTATGGATCAATTATGATCCATACAGTAGATTATGCTGAAGACTTAATTTCACAGAAAAGGCAAATCCTACTCATAAACCTATTTTACATATGAAAATAGTAGCAGATTACAAAATAGTGTAGCTTCATTTACATTTCTCAAAATGTGTGTGTAAAAGGTGAAGAGGATTTCTAGGCTTCCTCTATTGAACGGTTGGAAAGAAAGAAGAAAATTCTGCAAATGTGTTAACAGTGTTTCTTCATGGATAGTAGGTCTATGGGTAATTTTTTTAAATGTGTTCAATAAATCTGGATTAATTTTTAAAGGGGAACAACCTTGGATAGGAGATTGTTTTAAAGAGTTTGGGAACTGGAAAAGGAAGAAGGGGTCTTCAGCGGGCATCTCCTGTGGAAGACCAGAGTGAGGAGGGGATGGGGAGAGGGGTGGAGAGGCTGGAGAGGCATCTAGACCTGGAGCCTTTCTAATTTGGGTTCCCTGACTCCTGTATCCCATGTTGGTTGTGGTGTCTTGGTGTCTTTCTTTGTCTGATGGCCAAATGACCAAGAACTCTTCCCACCCATGGTGGAAGGGCTACTTACTTGTGCCTTTTTATTCTTTTGCTTTTCCAGTGGAGGCAGATATTTCCAGCTTTTCACAAAGGGCATGGGGATCATATCCTGGGGAGCACCCTGTCACCCTGGGCTGGTTGTTAGCGTGTAGCTGTTTGCTAATAAACCAGTGCAGGACCCCGATGTCAGAATGCTTAAAATGGTCAAATCAGCCGGGACCCCATTTCTGCACTGCACATGTCTTTTGCATTAACCGACCTCGGGCACCACAGAAACCTGAGTCAGGAGGTAGCTCCATGTGGACTCTTCAGAGCTGGAGTGGGGGTCAAGGGACTGGAGAAGCAGACACCTCTTCTTTTTAACCTTTCGAGACCAGAAGTCACTTGGTCCCCAATCCACAACATCTTGAACTTGCAGTGTGAAAGCCGGACAGTGTATTAAATGTGAATTTGAGACCCTGAGTTCTGCCCACACCGACTCTATAAAACAGCCTCCCTTTTTCATAAAGCAGGCCCATAAACTGCTGCCAGCGAAGCAGAAAGACTCCTCAGGACTGTGGCTTGCCTTCCGTCTGGGGCTGTCAACAAACCCCCTTTATGAGTGGAATAGACCTCTTGTATGTGTCGAGCTTCTGGCTTTTTACAGAGTGTGTTAGGAGCCAGGCTAGGCAAACGCTCGGCGCTGTTTGCTGAGTGCATTTATTGCCTTTGCATAATTTATGAGCTGGAGGGGCTGACCATCATTCGTCTCTGCCAGGGACTGGCACTCGAGGCTCCAGAGAGCGGAGCTGTAAATTGGATGGTGCGCTCCTGCTGAGCTCACGGCAAAGTCCTCGGGTCAGTATGGGAATTTAATACCAGAAATGGAACTGTTTTCGCAGCGCGCCATGTGGGCCCCAGTGCAGCAGAGACTGTTTTGGCAGACTCTGCGACTGGCCTTGTCGAGGAGCTGTCACTCACCCGGCGTGTTGTGTGGGGAGCCTGAGCATTTTTAATCGGCTTGGCATCCGTGCTGCTTCCATAATGGATACCAGTAGGTCTCAGTTCTTCACCATATGCTTAACTCTGGAGACAAGGTGCTTCTGGGTATATCAGTAATTACTTGATGCAGAATTAAGTGGACCTTGAAATTAGAACTGGACTGTTGGAAAGCAGGAAGCTTAACACTTTGATAGAAATAACCACTCCCAGGGACATACTGCTGCTAGGAATGGGGGCAGGGGAGGACCATGGTGATTCTTCCCCAGCTTGCCTTCTCCTCCAACCCCCGCTGTCAGGGATGTGGGCAAATGCTATGGCACAGCCTTCGGCTGTCACTGCTTACCTCACCAGGCAAGCTGTGAGCATCTGGGAAAATATGCCTGCCTGGCAAAATGCTCTTCCCTCCTCCACACCCCTCCTGAATGCTTTGTTACTCTTGAAAGTGTGCCCAGAACTTAGGGACCTCAAGGAAGACTTAATTAAAGGCCATGGAGGATTCACAGTCAGGAGTACTGTTGTTCTTCATCCATCTGCTGTTCTAGGCCTTCAAAGCCTTTCTCTCCCCCTATTTGCTTTCTCAGTTTATTTGACTGATGATGCTAGAAATCCTTGAAGAAAAAGGATCGGAGGTTTGGGGGACCCAAGGATGAAAGGTGGTTGAAGGAATTGTGGTTGTATCATACTTGGTTAAAACCATGTCATGGAAAACTGACTTACCCCACGGCCCCGAGGAACCAACAGAAAAGTGGAACATGGAGGACCTTTTGGTCTGTCGGGATGAGGTGTGAGTTCCCAAGTGTTTCTGCTACAGAGAAAGCATGCTCTGTCCTATTTGTATCTCCCAGGATTGTGCTGTCCACTGGGAGAAGGTTTCTGTGCCGTCCACGGAAAGCTCTCCTACAGTGGTGTTAGCGATGAAGTGACTTATTGATGTGAGAGCAAAGAGAGTCAGAGGGATGGGCTCGGTGGCTCCTTCCCAGAACCTCACATTCTTGGTTTTTTTTTTTTTTTGCATTAAGTATTTCTTGCCTTATTTGCAAAACCTCATCCTTACCTGACTATGTTCCGAGTTAAGGGGCTGGGGATTCCTTGTTTTCTCCTTTAAAAAATATTTTTTGTAATAAAAATATGTGTCCCCACCACCACAGCCCCGGGACCGGAGCGATAGTACAGCTAGTAGGGTACTACTTGCCTGGCATACACTTGACCTTTATTTGATTCCTGGCATCCCATATGGTCCCTTGAGCCCTACCAGAAGTGATCCCTGAAAACAGAGCCAGGAGTAAGCTTTGAGCACCACCAGGTGTGGCCCCCAAACAAGTAAACAATGTTGTTTCTCTTTCCCTGTGTTGTTTCGGTGATGGCAGTGATGCACCGGAGTCACACACTGAGTTGTCACCCCAGAATAACACTTGCAAACTCACACATGTGAGGCAGCCTCTCCAGCATAAAGTCCCAACTCTGGGCCTTCTCTCCACTTTTGAGAATGTTTTCCCAAAGCTCTCAGCAGCCATTACCTCAAGTATCAGACCCAAACAGGTCTTAGGGTCAGCCACAATTTCAGGAAGTTGGAAAAGAGGATGTGGAGTGTTTTTAAACTCTAAGTGTCAGGAGAAGGGGTTATGAGTGTCCCTGGGTGTCAGGCTAGCAAGTAGCTGCTGTAGATGCAAATGTATGTCTTCTTTTTTAGAGCAATGTCAGCCACCATGTCCAGGTGGCCACACTAAATCCTTGGCATCATCCGAGACTCATCCCTCTTACTTGCTCCCCACATCCATGCATTATGAGGTTCTATTGCTCCTACCTTCAGAATTACTCTGCCATCTGCTCATGCCTTTCTCAGGCCTTGCACCCTGCTAGTTGCCATAGTGTTAGAGTTTCCAGCCTGGTCTCTTGGTGGTCTCTTTGCCCACTGTGCACTTGTCTCTCCTCTGCCTGGGGAAAGTGTCCTTTGGATCGACCCAGCCGTGTTCCCACACACACACTGCAGTGTCTCTGCACCAGTTACTCCATTGCTGAGTGAGGCTATGTAAGGACCAAGTCTTGATGGAATTTCTGTCTAGCTGAGCATTGGAGTGAAAGAATGGAGGCGTTTATCTGCTGAGCATTAATTCTAACAGGACACATGTTTTCGACAAAATCAAATACTTGATACTGAACCACTCTTCGTACAGGAAATACATCATATCTTTTTAAAATTTCTCCTTTATTTCTAACAAGAAACTCAAAGCTTTGACTTCACCTTTATTCCCTGCTGACCCCAAACCCCAGCTAAACAGTTGGGCTTTGAGATCTGTTTGATAGGACTTGAGTGTGAGGTCCTAAAACCTATTTCTTTTGTTCTCATTGTTGGTTTATTATGCTGCCGACTCTTGTCTTAGCATGTTTTCTCCAAGCCTTAGAAAAGACAGTCACCTCAGATGGTGAGTCTGCCTGCTCTGTTTTCTGCTTTCTGAGAAAGGAGAGAGTGCACCGCCTTGAGGCTTACCATGACGCCTCTGGAGAAAGCACCGAAGACAAGCTGCCATTCATCCATTCATGGCAGCTGAGAGTTCAACATTTCCGATAAGACATTGATTTTGCTCTGAATCCCGCTGAATGATCTCTATTCACTATAATCCCGTGGCCCGAATGGCTTCTCAGTGCTGTGCCCTCTGGCCTGCCACAGTGACAACTACTCACTGGATATCTAGGACCTTGCAGGACGGACCACGGAACCAGCCATGCGAACACAGCATGAACTCAACGGAGCCACCTCTGGGTGCCTGCTTCTCCTCACATTTACAGCTCTTGACTGAAAGTCTTCTTGTTCAAGCAGCACTGACCATCCCTGCAACTTATCTTACTCTCCCCGCCCCCCATAGCTAAAGCACAAAGATGCTCATTTTTTGGACTAACCCTTATTTTCTTGTCTTTCTTTGCAGTGTGACAGCGACAGCGACCCAGAAGAGAAGGTAAGACCCCCCTGGTGGGCACAGCCCCTAACACAGTACGGGCAGCGTGCTTCTTCCCACAGCCAGCTACAAGGTGGAGGTTGCCGACTGCATGCCAGCCTCATGGGAAGATGGATTTGTGCACACAAGCAGTAATATGATAAGAAATACCATGCTTAACTGGGGAGGTCCACCGTATCAGTGAATAAGCCTTTTACCATCGCCTTCCTGTGACACTGAGTTTACACCTGACAGATCTCCAAAAAAGAAATGTTTATTGTAATAGTTTTCTGATCTGTCTTCAACTGACCCATGTGCTTCTTCCTGATTTTTTTGTGTACCTAAAGGCCTTCTCAGTAGAAATGTCAAAAGTATATGTCTATAAATTTCTTCATTGTGTGGGAGAGAGGTGGAGGGGGGCAATTTATTTCTCATCCGGGGGACATTCATGGCAGGGGGGTGAGTGCTTCCAGCAGGTGCATACTCTGCTTCAAAGCTGATGACCACCAGCCTCTGTGTATCCAGTTCAGCGTGGATCAAGAAAGTCAGCTCGATTTTTGAGCTTGCAGAAGCTTGGATCCCAGCCTGGTAAAGTGAACTTCAAACCCACCAAGGATTTTGTCTCTGTTTGGTCTTTCTTTCTAGCCTGCCCACTCCCCCAGCCACCTGCCTTTCTGCTTTTACCCTGACCTTGTGTATTTCCAAAAGTTACCTGAATGTTATGGTTCCTGTTCAGTTGGGCACCTGCCCCTGGCCAGATTGGCCCTGTGTAACTGACTCCCAATTGCCCTGAGAGAATCTCCCCAGACTCTTGGAGCCGGCGGCTTTTTATTCAGAATTCTGCCATGAGTATTCACTGGGATCTCTCCCTCAAGCCCAGAATTTGCCTCCTCTGCTGCCAGCCTCCAAGAGAGATCTAAAGCTCTTGTTCTGGACCGCCGTTAATTTGAATTCAGCATATGTAGTCTGTTATAAAATGTGAGACATCATCATTTGAGCAGGTCAAGCATATTCAGATGAAGACAAATGGTGCTTATTTGATTTCCTTAAAATCAGGAAATGAAAAAAGTGCTCTCTGGAGAAATCATGTTCTGCCTGACTTGGATGATAGGCCAGTGCATGTCCCCCAGATAAGAACAGGCTCTTGCCTTGAGGTTTTTATCTCTGAAGGACGGCCAGGACTGTCAGCGTGCTGACATGTGCATTATCCATGTCATTTTAAACAAAGTGACCTATGGAAGGGTGTGCGCTGCTGTGACATGGTAATGGGCTGTTGGGTGACAGCGAAAGTATACAGTGGGAAGGGGCCGTGGATTATTCTTTTGTTTAACTGACAAGTAGGCGCTTCCTTCCTCCAGCCCCCAGAGTCTTAGCTCCTTGGAGGTAGCCCTCTGGTGGCCCAGTACTGTGAGTGGAGGGGTGCCGTGGCGTGCACGTTCATTGTTGGAGGTGTGTCCACTCTTGGGGCACCAGAGGTGCCAGGGAGGCAATGGGACTTTTGGAAGCCCCCACCTCCAAGGTGCCTGCTTGAACTCCTTTTCCAAATCGGTTGCTCTCTCCAGAAGGCTGACTGTTCTTTGAAGGTTCCCTCCCAGCAGACATTTTTCCCCCCTGAAAAGGCAGTGAGAATTCCAGAAGGGTCACGAGTCTGGAAATGCTCATGGTGCTCAGTTTTGCACTTCATGCCAATGCATTGGTTAGAAATTTCAACCTTGCCCTTACATCTGAGCTATAGAAACCCCAGTGCCTGAGCCTCATCCCAGACCTACTGCCCTGAATAAGTGGAATGGTCTGGTATCATTAGTCCAGTAGATGATCTAATTTTAGTCATTCCTTTTGGTTTTTTGGGGTTTTATTGGGGGTAGGGCTAGGGAGGGGGCTGGGTAGGCACATCTTACAGTGTTCAGGGCTTACTCCTCACTATACTATTAGGGATCACTCCTGGAAGGGCTTGGGGGACCATGTGTGATATTGGGGTTCAAGGTTGAGTTGGCAATATGTGAGGCAAATGTCCTACCCACTGTACTATTGCTCCGACTCCCTAATTCTAGTTGTTTCTAGAAGTGAGCTCCTCTGGTACCGATCTTGGGGTCTAGATGTCTCTGGCATACTGGGGACACCCCCACTAGTCCTTTCCTAGGCCCTGAGATTAGGGATCTTCTGATTCTGATCACAGACCGTGGCAGGTGTCGGAAGTAGGCAGCACCCACTGCTAGGAGCACGCAGTGATTTCAGCTCAATGAAGGAGAACAAAGATGTTTCTATGCATCTGCAAGAGGGGAGAGAGATGGAGTAATGGTTCCTCCTTGGCCCTTTGCACATGCCCAGTCCTTTCCCTCTGCATCTGCCATGGTGTCCCTACAGGCTCTCTTGCTTGTCACTGGGAACTGCTCCACAGCCACAATCACGCCAGATGTCCCAGCCTGCCACCAGCAATGCTTCAGAGGTCTCCTCACGTGGCCCTGTCATAGTCAAGACTATCAGGCTTCCCCTTTTGGACGGAAATTGCCCGGTATTTATTGCCAGCTTTAGCACCATCCTCCCAGACTTCTGCTCCCTTCCCCACTGAGTCCTCCCAATGCCAGAGCCTCCTGCCGGGCCTCCCTTCAGCCCTACAGCTCACCAGGGCTGCCTTCATCTGCTGCTCCCAGGCTTCCTGCGCCAATCTGCATTGCTAATGGTGGAAAAGATGGCACCGTGTCCTGGGACCCCTTCCGCAAGCCCCACCAGGGATGCTGTTGGAGGCAAAAAGTGAGACTTGCAAGGGGCCCCACGGGGATTTCTCTCCGGAAGACCTGTCATTCTCTGGCTCCGTGGGGAGCTGCAGAACCGGCGGTCTAAAATTAGGGTACTGTATTTCACACAGCTGACTGAATTAAGATAAACTCTGCTTTCCTCTGATACGAAGCTGTAATTTATAAAATGATACCCTTACTAATTAATGTGGAAGCGACTGAGAAAGGGGCTAAAAAAGCAGAGCTTTCCATAAATGCGGGAGAGCCACTTGTGTCTGGGGACGGTTCTGATGAGGCATTGAGCAAAGCATCGCTCTTGGCCACTCCTCCTAGCCTCACAGACTTGTTCCCTGTTTATCCCCCAAAACCTGAAGGACTTCTGGGAAGAGTGAAAAATTGGGTGGGGGATTCGGGAAAGCTGAGATGCTGCATCTTAGAGGTGGGTTATGTCTTCGCTGTAGTTAGTGAAAAGAAGCAGCAGCACTTGGCACCTTATTCACATAAATTAAGCACCTTTTTCACCCAAATTAAGTAATTATTCCTTTCCCCCCTCAGAATGAATTGCATTATGAGACCGAGAGGCATGGTGCGTATTTCCACATATTGGCCTATCTCTCCTTTTGTTTTCTCTTCTCCTGGCAGCAGCCCCTTATGCAAGGAAGTCACACACACACACACACACACACACACACACACCACCACCACCACCACCACCCACCACACACACACCACATACACATACATTTGGTTAGGAAATGAACACAGAGATTCAGTGCAATTCATTCTCCATCTTCGCACTGCCCTATTGTGTGGGCCACTCCACAGTGCCCGGTGGCCATTTCCTGCCCAGTGGTTGAGCACTTGTGCCTCCCTGTCTGATTCACTGGGCCTCTCCCAGCTCTGACCCTTACTGTTTCCTAGCCGTGACCATACATCAACTCACTCGCCTACCCAAACTAGCCATTCTGACTCTTCCTACAACCTTGTGACAATCAAAAGAAGGTACCTGGCTTGGTACCCCGGCCAAGTCCAGGGCATGAGCAACTTAAACAGTCACTTCCTTTAGCTGGACATGGGGTGAAGTGAAAGATAGCCCTTGGGGATAAAGGAAGGTTATTTTTCCTTTGTCCACCGCTCCTCGCCCCACGGATTCATTCCTGATTTATACCAAAGAACCTAGAGACCTTCTGGAGAGAGTAAAAAAAATTGGGTGGGGAATTCAAGAAAGCTGGCATGCTGTGTCTTAGAGGTAGGCTGTGTCCAATAAGAGAAAAAGGTTATCCTCTTCAGAACTCAAACCATACCAGAAAGCCCACCACAGCCTGTGAGGTTTCTCCCACCTTCCTCAAATGTGCACATTGAAAGGAACGTTCTATTTGAAAGGCATATATATTACTTTATCACTGTCATCCTGTTGTTCATCAATTTGCTCAAGTGGGCGCCAGTAGTAATGCCTCCATTTGTCCCAGCCCTGAGATTTTAGCCCTCCTTACTCGCCCTTCCCAACAGTGCTGTATTGGAGACTCTTTCAGGTTCGGAGGAATGAGACCTATTATTGTTACTCTTTTTGGCATATCAAATACACCACGGGTAGCTTGCCAGGCTCTGCCATAATATATGTATATATATAAATTTATTATATATAATAACTTTTTAATCTCAAATGCCAGGCTTTCCTCTGGACATCACTGGGGACAAGGACATCCAAGGGTCCAAGGACACTCAAGTAGCCATACAGCCCCTGTCCCAAAACTCAGGCTCAGCTACTCAGATCCCCTTCACATGGGAGATGTTCTCATTTCTCACTCAGGCCCCAGACCGGGTCGTAGCAGCTGTTGTTTCTGTTTTTAAACTTCCTAGACAGAAAATCTGATACACAGTTGGTTTAAAAAACCACTACCATATAACAAATGCCAAAGAGAATTATCTACATTGCTCTTGTTTAATGTCCTGAAAATGGTGACATGTCAGAAAGAGAATGGGAATAATGCACGCGTGTGTGCGTATACGTGTTTGTGTGTGTGTGTGTGTGTGTGCGCATGCGTGCTCATATTTACAGATGTGGTGTGTTCGCTCTTGCAAGGACTCCACACACTGTCTCATCATAGAAATGTGGAGCCTTCTCCTTTTCCTAATGAGACTTTTAGCATGGCACCTGAAGGCAGTTGTCATTCCCTGGCCCGTTGGCCCTTTGGGCTGTTTGTCGTTCGCCAGCACCAGCACTGCCTGGGATGCGGGCTGATGGAAGGTGTAGCACCCCTGGTTTTCCATCCCAGCTTCCTCTGT